AGTCACGAACACCCGCTGTTCATTGGTGGAAACCGGCAACCTAAGCCCCGGGACTTGGAGTGGCGAATCACATAAGACCCTAACAACACAGGCGTGGTATTAAACCGGACAACATCAAAGCTGTCATTAAGTCCTTACAATTTCTGATGTACGCAAAAAGTACTAGTATGAATACCACTGCTGAATTTGTCTCCTTTGGTTCTATCATATGTGAGTGTGTTCATTATGGGATGAAGTTTTTGAGAAGGTATCAAGTTCGTTCCCTTTTTTGCATGGCATAGTATCATTACCTGATCTGTTTCCGAACGGTTATTAGCTATCCGAAGAGAAATACACAATCCCACAAAGCCCCGGGCAAAATCAGATCGGAATGGTTTTTCAGTCCCCAACTGAGTAAATGGTTTGACTGTCGATCTTCTGGGTCAAATGACAGTTCGTTGCAATGAGAGTCGTCATGCCTCTAAGGGGTCGAGATAACCCCCAGCTAAAAAAAGTTGCTGTTTTGCGGAGGGATTCCACGGGGCGAATGATGAAAGCCAAATATCACAGATATGCCAACTTACGTAACGGAGGAAGTTCCAACTTCAGTTTGATCGCAGGGAAAACCTGCGAAAGCTTGTTCCATCACGAACAGTGGACTGAAGTGAGACGTGTGTATCCTGCAGCCAACGGGTCTTATTGCTTGAACTTGGAAGCAACCTAATCTCCGAAATGCTAACCGCATCAGGCCGTCGTAAAGTAGTAGGCTTGGTATTCAGCCGATGGTGATCCCGTGGTTGTTTACATGATCTTCTTGGCGATAAACTGATTTTGCTATTTTTTTCCTTTTACGTCCTCGGTTAAATCGAGTTTCGGCAAACGGGCTTGATTAGAATGGTAGAATTTCTCTTCAGTGAAACGATATTAGTATCTCTGCGATGTGGGGCGGTATCATCATAATTTTCACTATGGAACTGACTCAAACCCAAGTCGTTCGTCATCATCGTACAGTGAAGCAAACTTCACTGATCACTGCCAAACTGATAATGCGTACAATGCTAAGTGAGTAGGTGCAAGGTGAATAGGGATTAGGTCCATTCAGGGAGACGGGGAAACAAAGCTGACCTCTGGTCAACACGCAGTGCTCAGTCCAACTGTGCATACACTGGTTCGACCATTCTGGTCTGATATTAAGCAATAACAAGAACACCATTGTGTCGATTTTTTCCTATCACCTTCAGTGGCTCGAACCATCTAGTTACGGAGCCTTTTGAATCCAACCCGGAAGACGAGGCGCCTAATCTACTTAATTGCTTTGTGCATTCAAACCCAAGTAGCTGTTGTCTACACCCGGCGACATAAGTATTCCACCACCTCACCTAGATCTTTGGATAAACTCCGCTCCCACATGCACGATCATCGCCATTTTTGAGAATCTAGACGGCAAACGAACGAACGACATTACGGTCAATAATCTTTATTTTTGATGAAAATATAGCGAAAACCCAGTTTTCCCGGTTAAAAGTAATGAACACGAACTTCACACCCAAATCAAAAAGCAGTTGCCCTGGACATCCCGAGTTTGTACTTCGGTATGCCCA